TTATTCCCATACATAATGTTATACATGAGCATTCACTACATGAGAGTAATATAAACAAAAAAAAAAAGATTTTAAGATATCTACAAGAAAAAACAAGAGGGGAAAAGAGACAGAAAGAAAGTGAATTTTTTAACATCAAAAAGAAATTTAATAGGGAAAGGGATTCTCTATGCACTAATCATACAGCCCTGAGTTAAAGTGTAGCTTTAGTTAATAAAATTTCATTATTTTTTTTAATTAATAAATATACATGACCTTCCATTTAAAAAATCTCATTTCCGGTTAAACCGGAAGTAATAAAAATTGACATTGACAAATCTCTAATTATTTATTAAATCTAATGGAGAATATACTTATAACTAGAGAGCGGATTTCTAGGTATTATGCTTTTTGTGAATACTGTAAGCATGTTAGAATTGATCAAAGTAATAATCTAGTTTTGATATTTGAAATCGTATAGTAAAACTTTGTTATGCTTATTTTGCTTTTTTGGCATTTTGTGCTTATTATAATGTTTATATGCTTTTCAAAGCTTTTTATTCAATTCACAACGTAATATGGTATTTTTCCCATTAATTAACGATTAAAAAAAGTGGATTAAGCATGAATGCACTTCAAGGCATAATGTTATTTTAAGCTACAGACACATTATATGGCTGACGTGTACATATAGGTCTGACGTCTCACTGTCTCAGATATTTGATCTTCTATTTTTTTAGTAGTAGGTATTCATTATTGCATTTAGATGACATTTTTAAGTGTTAATTGCTGAATGCTAGATTGGTCAATGATTGGATACAAGGATTTCCAGAGTTAAAAACCGACAACCGTAGAATGTTTTGCAGAGCATGTGCAAAAACTGTAAGCATATGAAATTGGCATCCTCCTCAAAACAGAATGATCAATTTAAATTTAACTTACTGTTTAAGGAATAGGATTGAAATATATTACCTACCTAGGTACTCATGAAACATTGCACCTCCTCAAAACAGAATGATCAATTTAAATTTAACTTACTGTTTAAGGAATAGGATTGAAATATATTACCTACCTAGGTACTCATGAAACATTATGCTTTTTTGCATAAAAATAAAACTTTTTTTTAATTTTGTTGTGCTTTTCTAAGCGCTTTTTTTTTAATTTTATAAGCTTATAAATCCGCTCTCTAAAAGCAATGCAGAAGAATTTTTTGAACCCCTTACTAATGCATTGCATGATCAATTTTTGCCAACACTACTGGGAGGTGAAACATCAAAACTAGAAGCACAGCTCTTTTCCCTTCCCGTTCACAAAGGTGGACTTGCTATATCTGACCCTTTCAATACACCAAACCATGCATACCAAACCTCAAGACAAGGCTCATCAATATTATCCACATCCTTAATCAACTCTCAGGATATAAATTTTGCTGAACACCACAAGTCTCTATATGTTGCAAAAAGAGAAGGAAATCAACAAAAAGAAATGTATGAAAATGAAATACTAGAGATGATTCTAACAAAACTGCCACATAAACAGAAACGAACAATTGAAAGATCAATAGCAACAAAAATGCATACAAAAACATCCACCTGGCTTTCAGTAATACCAACGAAAAAAGACAATTTCGACCTTTCACCCCATGAATTCAGAGATGCTCTTGCCATTAGATATCACCGTACAGCAGTCTCCATGCCAATATCCTGCGATGGCTGCGGCAGTGATGAAT